TACTTCCCTATACTCTATAATTTACTTGGAGCTTTGAGAAAGACTAAAAATAATGTCTGCCAGATTCAGCCCATCCACTTTCTAAAGTGTCAGGCCAAGACACGGTTTAAAATCAAGTTGCACTTCTAAAGCCAAGCGCACACTTAGACTCTTCGTCTCTTGTTTTCTGTCATGTTGGTGCATGCGTTACACAACTGAATGCAGACTAGCCGTGCTGGTAACACTGTGGATGCATTCCTTGTTAACGAAACTGAACATCATGAAAATCATTTGGTTCTGGAACCAGTTCTGAACAACAACCGGTTCTCAGCTCACAGCCCTACTGAGGGCAGATAAAGGACAGTGCAGACAGACATGGGGGGCTTGTGGAATCAGCCCAACCTCTAACTTATTCTGAAGTTTACACAGCCGGCAGACCTCGGCCTTCACACCTCCAACTGGCCCCACCATGCAGCTCTCGGTTAAAGCAAATGGAGATGAAAAGCTCCTGCAATGAGCTGCCTGGGATGAACAACATAACACTGACATGCCCTTTAGAACAAAATAAGCCTACAGCGTGCAAGTGCAGGCATGACCGAAGAGGAGATGCCTTTGAAACAGGTGTGAGTGTGTTTGTGTGCATGTAAAGGGTTCGTGGGAAAATGGGTGACTGAGTAATTCTCGTAGTCTGACCAACCCTCTACAACCTTTCTCACACTTTCACACAAACTGCTTTCAAATTACGCAAAAGCTGCCTGTGAGCCAGTCAAAGACTATCTCTGCACACATCTGTCCCACAGATTGATGCTCTTTTTCTCTTCGTACACTATCAGGCACTTGCTTGTCTTGACAGATACTCACTAATGGCGCTTTTCCACTGCATGGTACAGCTCGGTACGGTTCACTTTTGGGGGGTTTTCCACTGGGTACAGTACCTGGTACTTTTTTTAGTACCACCTCGGTTGGGGTTCCAAGTGAACCGTACCGTTACCAAAACGTGACGTGTAAACTCTGCTGATCACGGATTGGCCGGAGAGAATAGTCACTACCTGCGTCACTGAACTTGCGACACAAACACAAAAGAACCGCTAGATTTAAATCAGCGAAAAACTTTTTTTTTAGGAGTCGTGGTAGTAGAGGCGGCGCAACTATAACGACATGTGAATAATCCCGCCCCCTCTAAAGCGGTACTGAACTGCAGTGGAAACGCAAACCGTGCCGTGCCGTGCCGTGCCGTACCGTGCCGTACCACGCAGTGGAAAAGCGCCATATGACACACACAGACCCGCTCTGCCAGGAATCCTGCTGGCCTGAGGACGCAAGGCTTGGGTAGGGTTGCACCAAACGTTTGTATGTTCTTTCTTAAAATGGGACATTCTCAGCAGGGGTTTAGCAGCTACTAGTTTTTGTAAATACCTCTCTGGTAAATTTGGTTGCATCGTTTGCTTTTAAAGCAAAACTAGGTCGTAAAACCTCAGAGAAGTAGTGTGTAATCATATAATATGACATTTACCTTTATTGATCCAATGAGCAGCCGAAAAAACTGAGCATTTAAGTCTTACCTTAATATGAGTTTGTTTAAAGCATATTTTGCCTCATGTAACTCTTATTGGTAATAAATCAAATCACCATATACATTTACATTTACATTCAGTTAGACTTTTAGTAGATGCTTTTATCCAAAGTGACTTAAGGAAAGTCACAAGCAATTTGTCATATACAAGCCAACAAAATTCATAGTACACAATCCCAAATTTAAAGTATAGAGTTACAGTAGTAAGTGTCTAAATTATCATGAAATGTAATAATAATTTTTAAATACTTCACATTTTATGTAAATTACAATATCTAAAATTAATTAAGGATGATCAATAAATACTAATACAACAAAATTTGATATTTATTTATTCTTTTAATTTTATTTGATTTTTTTGCTAAAGGGCCACAAAGAAATCATTTAATCACATGATGTTTTCTTTGTGCTCAATATAACTGAGCACAAATGTCAACATCCTCATATGCTGTATGTCTAGGAATTAAGTCACACCAAACATAAGCTCAGTGTAATTCAATAGATCAGCCATTTTATTCCAACCGCTATTCCTATATCATATATATGTACAGTATTTTTCAAGTGCATTGAGTGTTATGAAGCTCTGATGTCTAGTACTGTGTAAGTGTAGTATTGTGTCACATACTGCACACCTGCCATATCAGGGGCCTTAATGGGACCAAGACTGATGCTGTATACTGATATTCAACCGAACTATTCACTCTCATTCAAATGATATACAATGATATTCTATTACTAGAATACTTAGTGTACTGTTCATTGATATTCTATTATTCTGTTATACTACTATTCACTGTTTCGACTGAACACGAGACATTTGGACTGAGCAGCCAGGATATGACCTATGTGCCTGTCATTGCTTTTGTCTGTGATGATCAAATACAGATTTAGGACTAATTTGAAAGCATGTAAATATGGTGTAAAATTACATGAAAATTATGTAAATGTTATAATGGCTGTTGTATATTTCAGCCATAATAGTGGTGTGATTTTAGATGACTATGACTGTTTTCAGGTTAGTATCACTAAAATGTAGCTGCAATTAATATATTTCTGACTTCCGTAGCCTACAAGTACTAATAAATATAATTCTGTATTAATCTTTATCTATACAGTCATATTAAATATATTTTTATCATGTACTTTAGAAACGTTAGATTACCTGACAAAAATATCAGATGTACAAATACCGTCCTAACATCAACAGATTAAAAGATGCAAGTTGTCTGACCATTTGGCATCCGATTATCATATGTCTGCATTAATGATGGCTGCATGGCTCTTGGCAGCTGCAGAAATATTTATGACAGGCAGCCAACCTCTTTCGTCGTCTCTATGCAACCGGGGTTATCTGAGCATTCATCTGAGGCCTTTGCTGCAGAAATGATGCAGGTGGCATCAGAGAAAGAGGAAAGCACAACACACATCTGCTGCTGGCGCATACATGTGTTTTCATTTTGGTGTAACCATATTTTGAACATTTAAGTTGTTTACCAAGGGCAATAAAATTTTACAGGTATTTTCGGGCGTAATCTTTTCAAGTCTTGCGCAACGCAAACTGTACACTAGTACCACTAGCACAAATAGCTTCATACAGTTTCTAACAATTTTTTTGGTAACACTTTACAATAAGGTTCCATTAGTTAATGTTAGTTGATGTATTAACTAACATGAAAAAACAATGAACAATACATTTATTACAGTATTTATTAATCTTTGTTCATGTTAGTTAATGAAAATACAGTTGTTCATTGTTAGTTCATGTTAATTCACGGTGCATTAACTAATGCTATCAAGCACAACTTTTGATTTTAATAATGCATTAGTAAATGTTGAAATTAACATGAAATAAGATTAATAAATGCTGAAGAACTATTGTTCATTCTTAGTTCATGTTAAATAAAGTAGTTAACTAATGTTAACTAATGAACCTTATTGTAAATTGTTACCATTTTTTTTAAGACAAAACACTTTTTTGTAGCGTGTTTGCTATTTAAATATATGATAAATATTAAACTTGTTATATTTTCTCGAGTATCAACGTACTGTTCCATACTGATAACAATGAAAAGTTGCGTACGGTTGTTATGGTTGCCTCCTCAGGTTTACGCAAATTCTGTTTGCTTGCATCTATTTGGCAACAGGTGATGCCTCCTCTGACTTGTAACTTAACTTTTGTAGTTACTGAAATGTTAACAAACACTGAAACGCAAATACACTTGTATATATAAACAATAAGGGCTCTTAAGAGCCCCCCCCATCCACCTTCCACTGAAGAATCCAGCTGTTGACAGTGTTTTGGAACATGGAAGCCAGTTTCTAGCTGGTTATTTGCTAGTGCAAGCTAGTAGACTGGTTTAGACCAGCAACAAACCAACTACCAGTTAGTCCTACTGCTGGCGTTGGAATATGGTGGCAGTTACCCTGTTGAAAAAAACAGCATATGCTGGTTAGGTATGTTTTGACGCTGGGATGCTGGTTTATTCTGGTCCTTTGCTGGTTTAAACTGATCCTTTGCTGGTTTAAGCTGGTCCTTTGGTGGTTTATGCTGGTCCTTTTGCTGGTTTATGCTGGTCCTTTACCAGCACATGACCAGCATAAACCAGCAAAATGACCAGCATAAACCAGCAAAGGACCAGCATAAACCAGCATCCCAGCGTCAAAACTTACCTAACCAGCATATGCTGGTTTTTTCAACAGGGTAATGATCAATTATTTAACCATGTTCCAAATCACAGCTGCCATTAAATGGATTTTCCAACATGGTTGGAGGCACCCTCCATAATTTGCACCCTGAAATATCCACAAAAATACATTACCCAGTCCTCGAAGTGTTTGCTGCCGTTTTGCAGCAATTCCTCGAACTGAATGGTGCAGTTGGCTACAAAGTCGTCGTAGCCAATCGGCGCGTCGTGAAACACCGACAGCTCGATCTTGCGGCCGTCGTGCACCTCGGTCACAAACTCATCGTGCCAGACGGGACTGTTGGTCTTCTGCTTGGTCGAGGTCTGACCTACGCGAAAATCATCTACGTTGAGGGCGATGTACGTGTCCAGCAGGAAGGTCTGCGTCTTGGGACCGACGGCGTGTCTCAGAGACCAGGCTGTGGGCTTCAGGTCCAAAGCCTCGCAGATCTTAATCTTCAGCAGACCGTTAAAAAACACCATGGCCACTTTTGAAAGCTTTAGTAACAATATTCCACTTCAGCGCCTGGTTAATTATTCAACCAGTGTTTGCCACGGTCCACCGGTTTGTGATTGTTTCTCCTTATGAAATAACGGTAAATGCCCTTCTTCGTCCTCGTGGATCTGCATGCAAAGTGTAGAAGGTCCTCCGGACAGAAAGAGAATCTATTGCTATGATCTACGGACAACCTGCATGTGATCTTGAAGCTGTCCAAACGGCGCTGTAGGCAGTCAGCAATGCAAGTTGGATTGAAAAAGGACAGCTACAGTGTATCAGCAGCGATACGACCAGCATTCCACACCTCAAAATACGCCAGAAATATATGCTGGATCTCCTCAGAGTGAGCAGCCCGTTCCCTCGTCTGGCTGAAGCGCTGGATGTGTCTCCTCCGCGCATTGGGAGGAAAGTTATCCTCGCAAAAGCGTCTTTCGGTTCGCCCTAGACAGGAGAACCAGTGTTTACAAGGGTTCCGTACTCGCTTGCTTTTTCCAGGATCCTTGTTTGTCCGTCGGTACTCAGTTTCCTGCAGACCTGCCTCTTTTTCTCCCGACTGCGTGTGTGTGTGTGTCTGAAGGCTGGTCCAGGAAATGCGCAAAACACGTCAGTTATTGCGCGGAGGGCTGAGTGAGTGCGGCACTGCTGGAACCGCTGCTTCGGCTCTGGTCAAGCATCACCCACAGGGCTGTAAAGATGAAGCGTGTGTGTGTGTGTGTGTGTGAATACCAAGTGTGAATAATGCACCCTGCTGAAGTCATGCAATGCAGACGACCATACGGACCGTATGAAGACCGCCGGTCTTAGTCATAATTCTTAAGTCATTTTTTACTTGTTTATATCATTAATGATTATTTGAAATCACATGATCTACCTCCATGCCATTGCCATTTCAGTAGCAATGTATGGATGTGTTCCTTTTCTTGCATAAGGTTGTTTACAATGCTGTACTGTGCACTGCAAAAAGAGATGTGTTAAAAATGACACATGTTGTGCAGCATTTTAACACATGTGGTGAGTGTGCTCAGGGACAACACGTGTCAAATTTAACACAATTTGTGTGTTAAGATGGATCACACATCTACTGT